GAAAAGGGCTGCTTTGACAAACTAACTTCTCTATTTAATCTCACAAGCTGTCAGATAACAAACTTTCCATTTTACGTGTTAAATGTTTGTTTCCCCCCCCCCCTTCGAGTTGTAAGCCGCCCTGAGTCTCCCCAGGGAAAAGGGCGGCATATAAATAAACTTTCATAACTCATAACTCATAGTTAAGAAAAAGGTGGGAAATAATTATCTAACTGGTGTTAAAATGGAAAGTTTGTTATCTGACAGCTTGTGAGATTAAATAGAGAAGTTAGTTTGTCAAAGCAGCCCTTTTCCTTGTGTTAAGTGAAAGATTCAGGTCAATCACAGGACATTGTGCTGTTGCATAGAATATATATTCTATGCTGTTGCATAGCATAAAATATTCTTTATTGACCAGGCATGATTAGACACACAAGGAATTTGTGCAGAAGTTCTGCAGTGTACATGCAAAGCAACAGGGTAATAATAAATCATAAGAATGATACCAATAAGGGGGTGGTAAAGAAAAATGAGGGTATTAATAATACTATAGCTATACATTATGGGTAAATATGTTTAGGCATAAGACAGTGTTATGGGAGTTAGGTGTTTAGCAGAATGATAGCATGGGGAAAGAAACCTCTTTATGTCTAATTGTTTTGGCATGCAATGCCCTATAGTGATGTCCTGAGGGGAGAATTTGAAAGAGTTTATGTCCAGGATGTGAGGGGTCTGTAGATATTTTCTCTGTAGATTTTTTTATGTGTTGTAGCGCATTTTGCCTAGTATGCTTATAAGGTCAGTAACAGTTTTTCATATATAATATACCATCTAAAATAAACCCAAAACCTCTTAAAGCCAAACTTTAAGTTTATTTTTCCTTATCAATAGTTTAATCATTATTTTGGCTCTTCTGACATACAGCCATTATTTAAATCATGTCTAGAATTAGAAATGTTGGTATAGTTTCAGTGTCGACTTTGGGCCATTCATAATCATTAGGAAAAATCTATTTTTTATCATTAACTTAGATATCTTTAGCTTCAGTTTTGTCCCAAAGGGCATAACAATACTCTGGAAAAATGATGTATTTATAACATTAAATGAATTGAAAAGCAATACTTTTATGAGTCCTGCTAACTGAAAACAGATATATTTTAAAACCTTTGAAGGAGATTATGCACTCGATTAGGAAATTACAGCTCTGATTAAAAGAAAATTGAATTAGCAGCTTAAGAAATGCATTATGAATTATGCAACAAGTGCTGTGATATTTACTCTTCTGCGCCAACAAATAGCTTTCTTGATAATTGACAAAAATGGGGAGGAAGGGATAAGATGCAATGGGGAGAAGGTGGGAT